GTCTTGATATGAAGCGGCTTAGTGTTGCTATTCGCCCATTTAGGCTCATGATCTGCTTTTTGCTGGTCGGGCTCTCCATATCGAGCAGAGCTTGAACCTTCTCGGGATTTATTTCTATCCCTCACTGATTGACCATGTATCCCAGGAACTTTCCTGATGATACCCCGAATGAACACTTGAGAGGATTCAGTTTCATTCTGTAGAATCGGAGAATATCAAACATCTCAGCGAGATGTCCTATGTGTTCTGAGGTGACCTGGGATTTGACTAGCATGTCGTCCACATAGACCTCCATTGTTCTTCTGATCTGGTCGGCGAACATCCGGTTAACCAGCCGTTGGTAGGTTGCGCCAGCATTCTTGAGGCCGAAGGACATAACTTTGTAACAGTACAACCCCTGGTCTGTAATGAAGGACGTGTGCTCCTCGTCTGGGCCATACATAGGGATCTGATTGTACCCCGAGTATGTATCCATGAAACTTAGCAGCTCGTGCCCCGAGGTGGCATCCACGAGCTGGTCAATTCTTGGCAGAGGGAAGCTGTCTTTCGGGCAGGCTTTGTTGAGGTCGCTAAAATCAACGCATGTCCGCCATTTTCCATTTGGCTTCTTTACCAGGATCGGGTTGGCAACCCACGTCGGGTATAGTGTCTCTCGGATGGATCCGCTCCGGAGGAGGTTTTCCACTTCTGACTTCAATGCAATATACCGTTCCGGATCCATTGCTCTTCTTTTTTGGCAAACTGGCTTAGCTTCACTGTCGATATTTAACGCATGGCAGATAACGTCCGGGCTGATCCCAACCATGTCTACATGCGACCAGGCAAATACGTAGATGTTTTCCCTGAGGAAACCTGTCAGTTCGCTAGCGAGTTGGGGGTTGAGATTTTTACCGACTCTTTACACCCTGCTCGGCTCTTTCTAGTCGACCTGGACTTCGGTCAGGTCCTCCACTGGCCCACTGGAGGGGCAGTCTTGAATGCGAGGGTCTAGGTTATCCTCTACCGGGCCAGGTCGTGGATTGATCCTATTGATCGTCATGGTCTGGCGAGGTGCATCTCGTGGAATGCCCTTTCCTTTGTGTGCCATCTGGACTGCTTTTACATAGCAGTCGCGCGATGCCCGCTGGGAGCCACTGACTTCCCCGATCCCCGTCGGGGTGGGGAACTTCATTTTCATATGGTAAATTGAAGTGACCGCCTTGAACTGTCTTAGTAGAGGTCACCCAAGGATCCCGTTGAAGGCTGACGGGCAGTCCACCACCAGGAATTCAATCATTCTGGTCACTTCGTCAGAATCGCCCAGCGTGACTGGGAGTGAGATTGTTCCCTTGGGGAGTAGATGATCTCCTGTGAATCCGTATAGCGGGAACGAGGTAGGCTTCAGGTCGGCCTCGTCCAAATTCATCCTCTCGAAGGTAGATGCGAACAGGATATTCACAGCACTCCCGTTATCCACCAGCATTCTCTGGGTGTTATAGCACCCTATCAGGGGAGTGATTACAAGGGCGTCATCATGGGGATGGTGTAATCTGGCTGCATCCTGTTCGGAGAAGGAAATCTCTTCCTCTCGACGAATCTTTTGTGGTCGCTGATCCACGCTCATTACTCTAATGGGGTCACGATGAGCTTCACGAGCATACCTTTCTTGGGCACCTCGTGAATTTCCAGCAAAATGCGATCCCCCGAAAATCAAGTTGAGACCGAGCACCCATTTCTGATTGCGACGCTTCTTACTTGGCTCCCCCCGATCTTCTTTCGAGGGAGCAGAGTCATCGATGTATTCCTTGAAATGCCCCTTCTTGATAAGTTCTTCGATTGCTTGTTTCAGGGCTCGGCACTCGTCAGTACGGTGCCCATTGTCCCTATAATAGCAACAGTACTTTTTATTATTTCTGGCTGTCGTAAGGGTTTTCATGGGTTCAGGTTCTCCGAGTAGACTGGCTTCTTCGGACTTATCAAGGATGGCTGATACCGAGGCGTTCAACGGGGTGTATTGGGGCCTGTCGCGGTCACGACGAGGAACCGGGGCATAAGATTTCTTGTGCTCGTAGCGAGGTTTTTTTCCTTTTAACTGGTCGTCACTATCTCCTTTGCGATCAGCCCTTTTACCTTCTCCCCGACCAGACATACTGCCCGAAACCCCCTGATCGCAACGTCGTAGTGCCGCCAATGAATTCTCTATGCGGAGGTACTTTTCCGCGAGGTTGTAGAATCTGGTGAGGGAAACATCATCCTCAGCCTGTAATTCTTTCCACAGGTCGGTTTGCGGGCGAACTCCGGCTATGATAAGAGTTCGTATGGACTCTTCGGGGGCGTGAGCCACCTTGTTGAGTTCCCTGTGGAAACGGTCGATATAGGATTGTAGGGACTCGTCCCTCTCTTGCCTTATATTGCTGAGATAGCTCAAAGGCATCGAGAACTTTCGATTTGCTTGGAAATGTCGCAGGAACGTCGTGCTCATCTGAGGCCACGAACTGATCGTTCCAACTGGGAGCGACCTTAGCCACCGTTTGGCATGAGAGGTTAGTGTTACAGCCAGGCAACAACATTTTGCAAGATCCGAAACCTGGTGGAGCTCCATCAGGCCATTGAACTCATACAAGTGGTCTTGCGGGTCATGGTTCCCATCGAACGGCCGCATGTCGGGCATTCTAAAGCCTGGTGGGAGTGGAGCAGCTAACACTTCGGGAGAGAAGGGGGATGCAGAGGCGACCTGGACTTGCTCGCTCTGCTGCTCTCTCAGCCTGTCTAGAGCTCGCTGCAACTCTTCAATTTGTGGCAACGGGGCCAGTTGGGGATTGCTTTCCCCCACGCGAGTCCTGCCCTAGCGATTACGATTCAGGAGGGTCCGGAGGTCGGACTCCTCTTCGCCCCGGCCGGCATTTTCGGTCGCTCTTGACACATGCTGGCTGGAGGCGTGCGAAGGCGATGGATGGTGCGGGGTATTTTCACGACCCTCGCGGTGGTATGAACCACCCCGCGAGGTGTGAGGAACATCCTGACGATAGCGATCAGGATCGTTCCGCTGGCGGTGATAAGAATCGCCCCGTCCAGCACTTCTGTTTGGGTTCACCTGCGACGTGGCATGGGACAGCTTGGGATTTATCTTTTCGCCGAGTCTCAGTTTTGCCGACGCCCTGTTCGGGGCACGGTTTTTGTTTGCTGGCCCTTTGGAGCCTGTATGCTTGCTTTTTGCCACTTGCTTACCCTTGCGTCTACGCGCTGCAGTGCTCGCGACAAGGGCTATTTCCCTTTGCCGCGCTTTTGCGCGACCTGCAGGCGTTTTTTACGGTTGCACCGCCCCAATTGTTTTAGAGGGCATGCCATGGTCCAGAAAATCCAACCTTTTGGTTGACCGTCTAGAGAGTGTTGTCGAACCTCTCCAGGTAACCTCTGATGGTGGGGTCAAGCTGCGAAGTTGCTGGGATATCCACCGCAGCAATTTGTGGGGATGGAAGTACTCTGGAAGGGGTATCCCCTTGGGTCTGGGGAACTTCCCCAACGCGCTGGTCAGCGTGTTCAGGTTCAGATTGGCGGGCCATCTGTTACTGTAGGACCAGTAGGTTAGAGATTTTCCTGATGAAGGATGAACACTAAATCTGGCCCTCTTTCTAGCGCCAAACTGTTGATGCATGATTTTAGACACTAACTAACCGACACGTGTACAACGTTGATTGATCAAGAGGTACACGTGATTACGAATAAAAAGAGAAATAAATGCAAGGAAAGCCTTTTAAAGTGGTTCGGATGCTAAGGTAGCAAGTCCTACATCCACTGATTTTTGTATCAATAAAGTGGGTCAGGTCGCAAATAGCGGACTGACTTACAAAATGATTGACAAGAAAAGTAAATACAAAGTTGGCAGAGAGAGAAAAAGCTAATTTCAAGTAAAAATAGCCGAATCCCCTTAATGAAGGGGTCTTCCTCTTTCTATAGTGAGGTTAATGCAAATAATCATCAGTAAATCCATGGGTTGGTATGAATGTTAGGAGTAAATCCGGCTTTATGTCACATTTCCCACATTCCAAACTGATTTTACGCGATTTAGAGCAGACAAAAGGACACGTGGGAGCTCCATAGCTATTGGCAGGCCTGACGTGGGTTTACCGTTCTGACAGGAGCAGCTCACCTTCCCATCACGTGATCTCTTACGTTAGCCCTTGATTTTCCAGTAGTAACAATTGTATATTTATTTAATTAGGTTATTCTAAAATTTTAACTTTTCTCTATTTTAATTTTTTTATATGTAAAATAATGAAACCCCCTATTATTCAAAAATATTTCATTGGAGTCCAGGTTCCAAAACAGATTCCAAAAATCAGTTCCAAACAGGTTCCAAATCGGGTACCTACTACAGGTTCCAAGCAGGTTCCAAACCGGGTACCCGTTTCAGGTTCTGGTTCCAGTTCCTCCACACATAAGAATTGGAACTGGAACCACACAGTATCGATTCCAATAAAATAGAATCGAAACCTACCCGCACAGTGCTAGTTTCGATTCTGGTTTCGGTTTTACCCGTAGGTTCCGGTTCCGGTTCCGGTTCCTGTTTTATCCGTAGGTTCCGGTTCTACCACCCGTGCTCACTCCTAATCAGCAACATCGATTGTCACGACACCTTCTTTTACTACCAGATAGGTTGAGTTATTTGCAATAACAATAACCCGCTCTCCATGGTGTTGACGCATTTCCGAGAAAAATGTGTCATTTTCGGTTACATGGTGTGAACAACCTAAATTAATGATCCACTCCTCTTTGTCGCTGTTGACATAATTAACAAGAGTTTGGACTGACTTTTCTTCAACTTCTTCAATAGTAAAACATTGCTCCCATTTGAGTTGATCATCTCCTTCACTTGCACATGCAACATTAGCTTTGGAAATCTTCACGTGACAATTTCTCTTGATATGCCCAGTTTTCCCGCATCTGAAACATGTGATAGATTTCTTACTTTGTGAATTGCCACCTTTCTCTGCACTTGAGTCTTCTTCAGTAGTCTTATTCTAGGCTGATGTATTCTTATTGTTTGGCTTCCCCTTTGAGAAGAGAACAGCATCAGATTCAAATTTTTTTGCCATTTGTTTAGCCAAAGCTTCTTGATTAGAGAGCAAGTTCTCTAACTCCTCTACAGAAGGCCGTTGTGACCACCCTTGAAGAGAGATGACGAAAGGTCTATACTCCTTTCTCAATCCACCGACAAGATACCGACGTAGACACGCTTCACTAATCTTGTCATCTGTATCTATCTCTGAAATTTCAGCACAAATACTTTTAACTCATAAAAAGTATTCTGAAATTGACATACCTCCTTGTTTTAACATTCCCAACTCATTCTCTAATAGTTGCAACCTTGCTGTATTCTTCTTAGTACACAACTTCTCAAGCGTGTCCTAGACTTCTTTTGGAGAGCTAACATCACGAACATAATCAATAAACTCTTTGCTGATATATGTCCTCAAAGCAAAAAGAGTGTTGCCACTTGATTTTCCCTTTCCTTTGTGATTCGACATGCTCAAGAATATAAGTAGGAATCCCTGCATCAGCACCAGTAACTAATTCCCACAAATCCTGACCTTGAAGATACGCCTCCATACACATTCTCCAGTACTTGTAGTTATTATTGCCTACAAGCTTCTCCATCCCGTACTGAGTATTTCCCCCGTTTGCTACCTTTATTGCTGCAAACAAGCAAAACTTTCTTTTCACAACTTTCAAATTCCTGCAACAAGACAAGCTTGATAGACAAGACAAAAGAATGACCTTCCCGCTGGCTTTGATACCATAAAATAAAAAGAAGAATAAAATAAAGAGAGAAAGTCAAGAGAAAGTTAATAATAACTTTTATTGAAATGAGAAATACAATAAAAAATCTTGGTGAGAAGAATGCGTACTTCATCTCAATCACATCAGCTATTTAAAGACCTATTCCACTAAGTGTCGTACCTTAAGTTGCACTAATTTTTGACACTCCTCTTTGGCATCTAGGTGACGAAGGACAGTGAGTATTGCTTTTTCAGTGTTGTCAAACTTCAATGCTAGTCCTTTCATGTCAGTTTCAAGGAAGAAATGTTTCCTTTTAACTAGTTCTGTTGTTGTAATATCTCTCAACTCTAGGGCTCTTTCCCAGAGGTTCTCCTCTAGCTTCTTCTTTGTGGCTAAAATAAGTTGGGCATTTTCTTCTGCATATGTTGCCATGTCATTGATTGTTGCATTAACTTTCTCAAGTGTGAGCCTTCCTCTCATATATGAGGATAGAGAATCTAGTTCATTGGAAGTTATGTACCATAATAGTGGAGAGCCACGACTCTTTTCCTCCTTGGGTATTACTGTTGGATCGTCTGGTTTTAGTGACCCACCATTAAGTAGTTTAGGGTCTTCTGGAAGCAAACATCTAGTAGTATCCAAATCCAACATGGTCATTCTCTGAGGCAAATATGAGGAAACATGGACAAACATGTTCTTCAGTATCTTCTGCTGCCGTAGTGATGCATCTATAAGTCTTTTAGCTTTAGGAATAGCATTGGTCTCATTATTCAATCGGTCCTTGAGCGCTTGTATTTGCAGCTCCATCGCTTTTACTTGGGCGATTACGAGTTCCTGTAACTCTGTGATTCGCATATTAAAGGAAGATATCAGAGAATCAAGCGAGGATCTTACTTTCTTCACATTCATGTCTCCAGCTTCTATTCCAGAGTTGGCAAACTCTCCTTCATCCTAGTCAAGGGTAAATGTTTTCCCTTTCATCTTGACACTCAACAATTTAGCACCATTAAATATAGTGCATAAATTATTCTTGAACTCTAAAGAATAATCTTTTTCAAGCATTTGACCAACACTTAAAAGGTTTTGGCTGAGATTGGGCATATACAAAACATCAGAGATCAATTTGGCACCCTTGTGTGTTGTGGCAGCAATTGTGCCTTTTCTCTCTACTTGCATAAGATCTCCATTGCCAATTTTTACAGTGGAAAGGTAATATTCATTAACCTCTTTAAATAGACTTGCATTGAAAGTCTTGTGATGTGTGTAGTCACTATCGATAAGCCAAGTGTTGTAGCTGTTAGTGTTTTGTGAGCATGAGACTACAAAGAGTTGCTCCTTTTGAATTTCAACTTCTACAGCCTGTGCTTGTTGATTATTTTGAGGGCCTTTGTTTTCATACTTGCACACTTTGGAGATGTGTCCTAGTTGCTTACAGTTGTTACATATCACATCTGGTCTCTACTAGCAATTTCTTTTTGGATGTGTAGTCTTCTTGTAATGTGTGCAAGATGGAAATTTCTTCAGCTGTAGCCCTTCTTTATTGTTCTTCTCTTCATATTCATCTTTGTTTCGTGGATGTCTTCTGCTATTGACAGAATGTTGTATTTGAAAGGCTCATTCTATAACTCTATCATGTCTGAAAGCCCTACTTCTTTCTTGTATTTGAAGTGCACTACTCTTCAAGTGATATGGCTGAGAGATCTATGGATTCTTCTAAAGAAGAAATCTTTGATTCAAGTCTTTCTAGTACTGTTATAAGTACCTTATCTACAATCTTGCTATCAGGCAAGTCTTCTCCAAACAACTTGATTTGATTGGCTATCGAGGATATTCTATCTGAATACTTAGTAATGGTTTCATCTTCCTGCATGATGAGAGCTTCAAATTCTCTTTTTAGACTCAACACCTTCATTTGTCTATTCTTTCATTGCCTTGATACTCCATCTTAAGCTTATCCCAAGCTTGCTTTGCAGTTTTACATGTCATTATCTTACCAAAGACAGAATCAGAATCAAAAACTGAATTCTGGATTACTATTTTTGCCTTGGATCTTTTGGTTTTTTCCTTAGGTTGGCCTTGATTTAAACTAGAGTTGGATCTCTGGGAAGTAGAGGAACAAGTCTATCTTCAGTTACAACTTCCCAAAGGTCAAAAGCCTCTAAGTACATTTGCATCTTCACTGACCAAATGGTGTATTTCTCACCAGTGAAGACTTGAGGTGTCACCAAGGAAAGACTGTTGCTGGCCATTTGCTTGAGTGAAGTTATGTTTGTGCTTTGTTGGTTTTGACAAGTCCTATAAGACCAATAGAGATCTGATACCAGATGTTGGAATTTCTGGGTAGTTAATGTTGCTTTGCTAAAGTTAAGAGTGTTTACAGATTGAATGTAAACAATAGGCAAAGCTAATATAATGTGAAGCAAATGAATTGAAGCTGAAAAACTGTTCTTATTTCCTTCATCCACATCAAGCTATTTATACATGTTTGAGATAACAAATTAGCCTAAGTTAGATGCAAAGATCAAGGGTTGTTACAGTTGAAAAATCATAAACAAATTATAGCTAAAATCAAGCAAAATCATATACGTAGATTGATGAATAAGTCTGCTACAATCTGCAGTTATTCCAACTGATTTTGACCTGGTCTTTTGGTACCTGATATGCCAATATTTCAACATCTTTTGATTAAATTGAATGTTTTCTATTATTGAAAATATAATTCTCCTATTCCATTTTTCGATTCTTTTGTCGTAAACTTTCCATTTCTCTGTTTCTTTCTTCCTAGGAGAAGAGGGAACACATATCTGAATTCATTTGTAACATGCACCATAATAAACTATATAATACATTATACAAAAACCATTAAAAATGTGTATTGAAGTCTCTTGCCTTTGTTACACAGAGAGTGACCATCTTGCACAAAAATGGTATACAAATGCATACCTTAGGTAATTGGTTTCTGCAGCAGAGCTGAAAAGTACCATTCATTCTTGTCAATTCCGTGATCAAGCTTCATACCAATATTCCATCTGAGTTTCCTGAATCCAATGCTATCGAACATTGGAACATAAGTTTCGTTGAGCTGTGGTCCATAGCAAAAGAAATGATCAAGCCAGAAGAGCCTTCCTGGCCTTAGCACTCAATAAATGTCAAAGAGTGTGAACTCAAGCATGGCATCTGTGATCCAGTTGCTAGAACGTGCATCAAATGTATTATATCCAGTGTGTTTTCTGAAAAAAAAAAAAAGCCTCCGGAAAACACTAACATGCATTGGAATCAAGCCTCTTGAAGCAATGAAGCTGTTGAATGGACCATCAAAATTCATTGAAGTTGTGATGATTGTCACATTTCTCTCTCTCATTCTAGCAACAAATGTACCATATCCTCCTCTTATATCAAGTCCAATTCGGATTGTCCCTCGAGGTTTCATGTTCAAAACTTGATCAATGCCATAGTCCAGGCTATTGAGTGAAGCTTTAAACGATGACGTTTTGATTCTGTTTATACGCTGCCGTTTTGGAGTTCACTTAAGTAGGTAATCTCAACCGTTGATTCCAGCATGATCCAACAGCCTTCAGTAGTCTAGCAAGTCAAACTATATAAGACTGAGTATTGAGAAATCTGAACTGTAGAACAACTTCCTCTCTCGTGTTATTCGACTCTGTTAGGGTTCTTAAGTTTTTTAGGCTCTCTTCAAATCTTGTAATCGAGTCACAATCGGTGTAAATTGTGGGTAGAAGAATATGGCTTTTCTTCGGGTAGAGACACTGTATATAGGTAGTTTATTTGGGTTGCGATTATAGGTTGATTTGAGGGTATATTGTGTAAGTGAGAGATTTGGGTATTTTTGTGTTGATTGGCTTGTAAGTTGTATGTTCTTGATCCTTATAGCGCAGTGAGCCCCAAATTACTTGGAACTCAACGTGAATGTAGTTTATTCCATTGGAATAAGCGAACCACGGTAAAAATCTTTGTGTTCTTGTTTTCGTAAAAATCTTTGTGTTCTTGTTTTCTTCTCTATTTGATTCGTGTGTTGGATGTGCTAGAAATGTTTGGTAGTGAATCCTCTTAGGTTTGAGTTGGGTTTAAAAATAACACAGGCCTTTGTCAAAGAGCCATCTATTCGTCTCTCTGTCCTGCAAGTCAAAACAATCTTTGCAATCAAAGACCCCTGGTGCATTGTTTCTGTCGATCAGGCACTAGTAGCTTTTACAGGAGTAAGGATCCCAAATGATGCTGGTGTTAGGTGCTTTTGCCCTGAGACTTTCTGGAAATGGTGTTGGCTCAACATAATTCAGAGGTGGACTTTGGATGGCATCTCCGGCGAGGCAACCGTTCACATCGTTTAAGCAAAAGCCTCTGCGCAAATACATCATCCGCAGGACACTCCCTACCAATCTCATATGTCATATACTGAACCAACTCCCCTTGAACTTGAAGTAGCCTGCCCCAACCGGCACGATTACTTCATCCAATCCCGTCGTTGGAGACTTTCCTAAGAGAAGCTTGTGAGGGCCTAATGTAGCCCTCACTTCATTAGACAATCTAATGCTCAAGTTAGCATTGAACTTCTCACCAGGCACACTCGCTACCTTTTGAGTCAAGCGTTCATGTTCTCTTGTAAGCTTAATCAACAAGGCCTCTACCAGCAAATTAGTAGAGTTAAGCTGCTGCTGCAACTCAACACTGAAGGAATGACTGGCTGCAAACTCAAATTTAGTAGAGTTGAGCTCATGCACAAAAGTGGGAGAGTCCCAAAGAGAGAGAGACAAATGGTTGCTGTGCCCAGTTAAATTCAAATTCAAAGAACGAATGACTAGCTACAAACTCAAATTTAGTAGAGTTAAGCTCATGCACAAGAGTGGGAGAGTCCCAAAGAGGGAGAGACAAATGGTTGTTATGCCCAATTAAATTTAAATTCAAATTCAAAGAAGAGCCGTAGAAGATGTAGATTGTGAGAAGATTTGTAACAATAACAAGCAAAAGAATCTTGAGCTTGTACTTGTTATGGGGCTGTTGTTGTTGTTAAGAGTAGCGCAACAAAGACAGAGTGCAAAGAAAATGGAAACAGTGGAAAGCTGAAAATGGAATGATCCAAGTCTGAATATCTTTTCTGTGTTTTTGTATACAGTGCTTACAGACAGTGCTTACAACTGTTTATAGATTATAAATAACACTAAAACAAATAAAGGAATAATTACAGCTGGAAAGGAATAATAACAGCTAGCGAATGCATAACAAAATGGCCTCAACAGACTCAACAGAATGGCCTCATCGTCTTCATGTGACTGCTGTATTTTTATCAGGTGGAACTGTGGCTATTGTAGGTCCAATTGCATCCTCTAATCTCAACATCCCCCCGCAAGATGGAGAGTATATATTCAGTACTCCCATCTTGGACAATAGTCGCGTGAGTGTCGGAGCATGCAGGGGCTTGGTGAAGAGATCAGCCAACTGCTCAGAAGAAGAAACATGGGCAATGGCAACATGCCCAGCCAAGACATTGTCACGAACAAGATAGTAATCCAGCTCGATGTGCTTGGTGTGCTCATGGAACACGGGGTTGGTAGCTATATGTAGCGCGGCTAAGTTGTCACAATATAAGGTGGCTGGATCAGAAATGGTAACACAAAGGTCTTGGAGAAAATACTGAAGCCATGTGATTTCACACACGACAGCCGCCATGGCCCTATATTCCGACTCGACTGAGGATTGTGAAACTGTGTGTTGCTTTTTTGATTTCCAGGCAACAAGAGACTTGCCAATAAACACACAAAACCCAGTCGTCGATCTCTTAGTGTCAAGACAATTTGCCCAATTGGCATCGGAGTAGGCAGTGAGTTTTAATGAAGAGGTGGCAAGAAAAAATAAACCTTGGCCTGGAAGATACCAAAGAACTTTGAGAAGGG